CGTAACTCCTGAGCATAAGGGATTATAGAAATTATGTCAACATGTCAGCAGAATTCAGGCCCCTCCCATAAACTTAATTTTGTGGACTTTCAATAGTTTTACAAAGGTGGTTTCAGCCCCGTGAATAAAGAAGGGATTCGTTTTAGGGAGGAACTATTATCATCCTGGCTTCTAAGTTAAACAGTAAACTAAATTCCTTCCACGGTTAGCTTGGCCTACCCCAGGAATGAGTGAAGACAGCCAGCCTGTGAGGCTAGAAGCAAGATGGAGTCAGCCACGTTAGATTTCTCTCACTGTCATAATCTTTGCAAAGGCGATTTCAATACAGCCCAGAAAACGAGAAAGTGAATACTTATTTATTTGTTTGTTCGTTTGCTTTGAGAGGGAGTCTCGCACTGTCTCCCAGGCTGGAGTACAATGGCACGATCTTGGCTCACTGCAACTTCTGTCTCCTGTGTTCAAGCGATTCTTCGGCCTTAGCCTCCAGAGTAGATGGGATTACAGGCACCTGACATCATGCCTAGCTAATTTTTGTATTTTTGTAGAGACAGGGTTTCATCATGTTGGTCAGGCTGGTCTTGAACTACTGACTTCAGGTGATCCATGCACCTCAGCCTCCAAAAGTGCCAGGATTACAGGCCTGAGCCACTGCACCTGGGCATAAATGCATTTTTGAAAGAAACCAGCCCATCTATCTTACTAATAACTATCATTCCAATAAAATTTTTACTCTGTTTAAAAGTTATTTATATAAATTGCAGCATACTTCTGTTTTGTTTGACTGCTAATCGTGATTATATTGATAATTCAATCCGAGAGAAAAAATTTAACAAGAGCCCTTTTGTCATAGAAATTTAAAAAGAATTAAAATTTTAATACATATATATACTTTTGTGGCAGAGAAGTATTACAAAGTGATAAAAGACTTACATGCACAAAATATATTGCCTTGGAATGTAATTCTGTGGAGAAAATAGAACGGAAATACAAGTTTAGAAAGATAAAAGAATGACAAAATTTCTGATGTAGGCTGGGTGCAGTGACTCATGCCTGTAATCCCAGCACTTTGGGAGATGGAGGCAGGTGGATCACCTGAGGTCAGGGATTCGAGACCAGCCTGGCCAACATGGGGAAACCCCATCTCTACTAAAAATACAAAATTAGCTGAGCATGGTGGCGCATGCCTGTGATCCCAGCTACTCTGGAGGCTGAGGCAGGAGGATGGTTTGAACCCTGGAGGTGGAGGGGTTACAGTGAGCCGAGATCGCGACACTGCACTCCAGCCTGGGCAACGAAGTGAGACTCCGTCTCAAAAAAAAAAAAAAAAGATGGCCGGGCGCGGTGGCTCACGCCTGTAATCCAGCACTTCGGGAGGCCGAGGCGGGTGGATCACGAGGTCAAGAGATCGAGACCATCCTGGTCAACATGGTGAAACCCCATCTCTACTAAAAATACAAAAAAGTAGCTGGGCATTTTGGCGCGTGCCTATAATCCCAGCTACTCAGGAGGCTGAGGCAGGAGAATTGCCTGACCCCAGGAGGCGGAGGTTGCGGTGAGCCGAGATCGCGCCATTGCACTCCAGCCTGGGTAACAAGGGTGAAACTCCGTCTCAAAAAAAAAAAAAAAAACTTTTAGAGAGCGTCCAAGAAAAAAAGTTTGAAGACTATTGGCGTTTTTTTTGTTTGTTTGTTTGTTTGTTTTTTGAGATGGAGTTTCGCTCTTGTCACCCAGGCTGGAGTGCAATGGTGCGATCTCGGCTCACCGCAACCTCAGCCTCCTGGGTTCAAGCAATTCTCCTGCCTCAGCCTCCCGAATAGCTGGAACTACAGGCACGCGCTACCATGCCCAGCTAAATTTTTGTATTTAGTGGAGATGGGGTTTCACCATGTTGACCAGGATGGTCTCGATCTTTTGACCTCGTGATCCACCTGCCTCGGCCTCCCAAAGTGCTGGGATTACAGGCGTGAGCCACCACACCCGGCCAAGACTATTGGTTAACCCACTCTTTCCAGAAACTTGGCTGTGAAATGGAAAAGAGGAGAGCTGACTCCAGGGATGCTTAGGTCAAAGGTAACTTTATTTTACTTTTTATTTTTTATTTTTTTTTTTTTTATTTTTTTTTTGAGACGGAGTTTCGCTTTTGTTACCCAGGCTGGAGTGCAATGGCACCATCTTGGCTCACCGCAACCTCCGCCTCCTGGGTTCAGGCAATTCTCCTGCCTCAGCCTCCCAAGCAGCTGGGATTACAGGCACACGCCACCATGCCCAGCTGATTTTTTGTATTTTTAGTAGAGACGGGGTTTCACCATGTCGACCAGGATGGTCTCGAACTCTCGACCTCGTGATCCACCCGCCTCGGCCTCCCAAAGTGCTGGGATTACAGGCTTGAGCCACCGTGCCCGGCTACTTTTTATTTTTAAATTTTTTTTGAGACTAGGTCTAGCTCCTTCCCCAGGCTGGAGGGAAGTGCTATAATCACAGCTCACTGCAGTCTTGGCCCCCTGGGCTCTCATGGCTCACTGCAATCTTCACCTCCCATCAAGCAATCCTCCCATCTCAGTCTCCTGAGTAGCTGGGAGTAGCCAGGCCTGTGCCACCATGCCTGGCTAATTTTTTTTTTTTTTTTTTTTTTTTTGAGATGGAAACTTGCTCTGTTGCCCAGGCTGGAGTGCAATGGTATGATCTCGGCTTACTGCATCTTCCCCTTCTCAGGTTCAAGCGATTCTTCTGCCTCAGCTTCCCAAGTAGCTGGGATTACAGGTACCTGCCACCGCGCCTGGTTAACTTTAGTATTTTTAGTAGAGACAGGGGTTTCACGGTGCTGGCCAGGCTGGTCTCAAACTCCTGATCTCAGGCGATCCACCATCCTTGGCCTTCCAAAGTGCTGGGATTACAAGCGTGAACCACTGTGCTTGGCCAATTTTTTTTTTTTTTTTTTTTTTTTTTTTGTAGAAACAGGGTTTCACCATGTTGCTCAGGGTAGTCTCAAACTCCTGAGCTCAAGCAATCCACCTGCCTCGGCATCCCAAAGTGCTGGGATTACAGGCACGGGCCACCATGCCTGGACAGTGATTTTATTTTTTTAATTGGAAGATCTGAGCATGTTTAACTATTTAGTATCATGCCCATTTTACAGAAAAAAAGAAAGGCTCTTAGAACCTATGATTTTACTTCAATGTGGAGATTCTGGAACAAGAATAAGTAATCTATCAGTCAGGACAGGCTGGGGTTATGGTGTATCAGTACACATCCACCTAATCTCAGTAAGCTGAACACATTCCTAGTTTTCTTCTCCCGCTTACTACATATCCTAGGGTGGGTTGGCAGGGAGTCTGCTCATCTTAGCCACTCAGTGACCCAGATCACAGAATGATGGTTTCATCTCCATAGTTGGAGCAGCTGGCAGAAAGAGATACAATGGCCAGCTCAGTCGCCTTTAAAGTTGGTGGGAAGTAACATTAGTACCTCTGTGTGTTTCAAGTGGGTCAGGGAAGTGCCAGTCCTACCCTGTGCCCAGAAAGGGAAAGCACTGGAAACGTTGATGAGCAGCGCTGCCTACTCCATGACACTTCCAGTGTTGGAAATAACCACAAACATTTTTTTTGTCCTCAGCTTCATGAGTAGCTGTGACTACCGGCATGCACCAAGATGACTGGCTTTGTTTTTTTTGTTTGTTTTTTTCTTTTTTGTTTTTGCTTACTTATTTTTTGAGACAAAAGTCTCGCTCTGTCACCCAGGCTGGAGTGCAGTGACATAATCTGAGCTCACTGTAACCTCCGTCTCCCAGGTTCAAGTGATTCTCCTGCTTTAGCCTCCTGAGTAGCTGGGACTGCAGGTGGACACCACCACACCCGGCTAATTTTTGTATTTTTAGTAGAGAAGGGGTTTCACCATATTGGCCATGCTGGTCTCGAACTCCTGACCTCGTGATCTGCCCGCCTTGGCCTCCCAAAGTGCTGGGATTACAGGCGTGAGCCACCGCGCCTGGCCTTGTTTTATTTTCAGTAGAGATGGGGGTTCGCTATGTTGGCCAGGCTGTCTTGAACTCCTGATCTCAAGTGATCCAAAGGTCTGCTACAAACTTGTATTATCTGATACCTACTTTGGGCCCAGGCGAGAAGGAGTAAAGCATGAAGCATTGTTAGTTCATTTCAACAGATTGGGGAATTGTGGGTTTTAGTCTCTGACGCCTCATTCTTACCATGAGAGCTTAGAAGTTCCTTTACCTCTTTGGGTCATCTGGGAGGACTTGGTGCTCTTTTAGTTCTAACATTTTCTGCTTGCAATGTGCTTAGGACTGGAGTACGAGGTGAGTGAATGGGAGAACGCAAACCCCACAAACGCCAGGAGAGCCATCTCAGGAAAACACTTTCTAGTATTTTGTCTGCGTGTCTGTTGGGGAACGCGCTTACATCCCGCAGAGGGCAGTAGGGACACAGCGCGCAACTCTGCTTCACAACTGCAAGTTAAAAAGCCTTGAATGCGCGTCCGAATCATGCAGGGGAGGTTTTCTAAAATACCCGTGCTCCGCCCAAGACAATGAAATCAGGCTCCCTGCGAGCGAGGCCTGAATATCAGCATTTTTTTTTTTTTTTTTTTTTTTTTTTTGGCTGCTCGGAACATCAGCATTTTTGGAGACTCCCCCTCCGCCCCACCCCCGCCACCGCCGCCACCGTGACTGTGTACCGATGATCTTTAACCCCCTGCTACTTGCTAGAGCAGCTGGATGACCCCTCGCGGGCTCATTCTCACAAATGAGCTCCTGAATGGAGTCCTTTCCTCCCAAGAGTTGTTGGTGTTGCATCTTTTTGTTGACTCTGTGTGTGTGTGTGTGTGTGTGTGTGTGTGTGTGTATTTTTTTCCTTTTTGCCTGCAGCACCTGGTATTCCCGTGCGGTCTCCCATCCAAGTACTAACCAGGCCCGACCCTGCTTAGCTTCCAAGATCAGACGAGATCGGGCTCGTCCGTATTTACATTTTTTTAGCCCACGGAAGAACACATCCAACGGCGCCGCATCTTAATGGGAGCACATCCGGCCAAAGGGAACCTTGGAGACATCCGCGGGTTCCTAGCGGCTGGCAGCAAGGGGGTTTCCGAGGGCAGGGGGCCGCCACTGAAGGTCAGCTCTGCCATTCGCGCTGGGCTATGGAGGCTCTAAGTCCGCTTTCGGCAGCACCGGAGGAAGGAGACTGGGTGGCCTCAAGGGAGGAGGGCTAGAGGCGACAGAGACGCGGAAGAAGGCCGGGGGAAGAGGCAGGGCGAGGGAGGAGCCTGCGGAGACGCGGCCCCGGGCCGGCCGGCTGGATCCCGACGTCCGCGCTCAGCCTGGTCGCCATGGCGGGCCTGGGCCCGGGCCCCGCCGTCCCCGCCGTCCCCGCCGTCCCCGCCGTCCCCGCCGTCCCCGCCGTCCCCGCCGTCCCCGTGTGGCTGGCCGAGGACGACCTGGGCTGCATCATCTGCCAGGGGCTGCTGGACTGGCCGGCCACGCTGCCCTGCGGCCACAGCTTCTGCCGCCGCTGCCTGGAGAGCCTGTGGGGCGCGCGGGGCGCGGGGCGCCGCTGGGCCTGCCCCACCTGCCGGGAGGTCGCCGCGCAGCCGCCGCGGCTGCGGAAGAACACGCTGCTGCAGGACCTGGCGGACAAGTACCGCCGCGCCGCGCGCGAGCTGGAGGCGGGCCCCGACTCGGCCCCCCGCCCCGGCCCCTGCTCCAGCCCGGCCCCCAGGCCCCGGCGCCGCCGCTCACTGCCGCGGGTAGGGAGGCCGAGCCCGCCGCTCCCCTCGCGCCCCCGGGCTGCCCCCTTTTCCTCTGGCTCGAACCCCCTTCCTCAGCCGTTCTACTTTTACGTTCCTTTTCGCAGTCTAACACTTGACTCCCACTCTTAGGAGGAACTTTGAAGGTCAGAAAAATATGAAGAAGCAGAAAAAAAAAAAAAAAATCCCCATCTCCCGAAAGCCCGACAACCTAGCAGCTATACGCCTTGGCATATTTCAACTTCTTCCCAATCTATCTGCGGTGTCTTTCTCTCAAAATTGTAAAATTGTGGTAAGATGTATGTAACATTAAAACTTGCCATTTTTGCCTTTTTTTTTTTTTTTTTTTTGATAGAGTCTCTCTCTGTTACCAGGCTGGAGTGCAATGTTACGATCTCGGCTCACTGCAAACTCCGCCTCCCGGGTTCAAGCGATACTCCTGCCTCAGCCTTTCGAGTAGCTGGGACTACAGGCGCGCACCACTGCGCCCAGCTAATTTCTTTTCTATTTTAGTAGAGACAGGGTTTCACCATGTCGCCCAGGCTGGTCTCGAACTCCTGAGCTCAGGCAATCCTCCCGCCTCTGCCTCGCTAAGTGCTGGGATTACAGACGTGAGCCACCGCGACCGACCTCATTTTAACCTTTTTTTTTTTGAGACGGAGTTCCAGGCTGGAGTGCAATGGCCCAATCTTGGCTCACCGCAACCTCTGCCTCCTGGGTTCAGACAATTCCCCTGCCTCCTGAGTAGCTGGGATTACAGGCACGCACCACCATGCCCAGCTAATTTTTTTGTGTTTTTAGTAGAGACGGGGTTTCACCATGTTGACCAGGATGGTCTCCATCTCTTGACCTCGTGATCCACCCGCCTCGGCCTCCCAAAGTGCCGGGATTACAGGCTTGAGCCACCGCGCCCGGCCTCATTTTAACCATTTTTAAGTGTATAATTCAGTGACAAATTAGTTACATTTCCAATGTGCAAATATCACTGCTGTTTCCAAAACCCTTTGATGACCATAAACAGAAACTCTGTACCCATTAAGTAGTAACTCCTCATTTGCCCTCCCTCTAGCCCCCTGCTCACATCTAAGCTACTTTCTGTATCTGGATTTTCCTGTTCTAGTTATTCATATAACTGGAATCATTGAATGTTTGTGCCTTGTTTCTGTCACTTAGCATAGTGTTTTCAAGGTTCATTCATGTTGTAGCATGTGTCAAAACTTTATTTCTTTTAGGGAGGCTGAATAATATTCCATTGGGTGGATGTGCACATTTTAAATTTTATTTTTTATTTATTTTTTTGAGATGAAGTCTCGCCCTGTCGCCACACTGGAAGTGCAGTGGTGCCATCTTGGCTCAGCAACCTCCGCCTCCTGGGTTCAAGGGATTCTCCTGCCTCAGTCTCCCGAGTAGCTGGGACTACAGGTGCGCACCACTCTACCCAGCTAATTTTTGTATTTTTAGTAGAGACGGGGTTTCACCATGTTGGCCAGGATGATCTCGATCTCTTGACCTCGTGATCCATCTGCCTCAGTCTCTCAAAATGCTGGGATTACAGGCGTGAGCCACCAGGCCCGGCCAATGTGCCATATTTTTAAAAATCCAGGCCGGGCGTGGTGGCTCACGCCTGTAATCCCAGCACTTTGGGAGGCCGAGGCAGGTGGATCACGAGGTCAAGAGATCGAGACCATCCTGGTCAACATGGTGAAACCCCGTCTCTACTAAAAATACAAAACGTTAGCTGGGCATGGTGGCGCGTGCCTGTAATCCCAGCTACTCAGGAGGTTGAGGCAGGAGAATTGCCTGAAGCCAGGAGGTGGAGGTTGTGGTGAGCCGAGATCGCGCCATTGCGCTCCAGCCTGGGTAACAAGAACGAAACTCCGTCTCAAAAAAAAAAGAAAAAAGAAATCCATTCATCCATCCCTGGACATTTCAATTGTCTCCACCTTTTGGTTACTTGTGAATAATGCTGCAGGGAACATTGTTGTGCAAGCATCTGAGTCCCTATTTTCCATTATTTTGGTTTATACCTAGGAGTGTGATTGCTGGATCATATGGTAATTTTATGTTTAACTTATTAAGGAATGGTTTGTTTTCCACAAGGCCCGTACCTTGTTGCATTCCCACCAGCCATGTACAAGGGTTCCAATTTTTCCACATTCTTCTGAATACTTATTTTCTGGATGTTTTTGTTTTTCTTTTTTAGCATAGCTTTCACACTTTAGGCATGAAGTGACATCTCATTGTAATTTTTTTTGTTTGTTTTTGAGATGGAGTCTCACTCCACGCTGGAGTGAAGTGGCACAGATCTTGGCTCACTGCAACTTCTGCCTCCTGGGTTCAAGCCAGTTCTCCCTGCTGCAGCCTCCGGAGTAGCTGGGATTACAGGCACCTGCCACCATGCCTGGCTAATTTTTGTATCATTGCCAAATCAAATGTCATAAATTTTGCCCTGTGTTTTCTTCTAAGAGTTGTATGATTTTAGGTCTTACATTTAGGTCTTTGATCCATTTTGAGTTAGTTTTTGTATCTAGTGTTAAGTAAGGATCCAACCTTATTTTTTTGTGTATAGATATCCAGTTTTCACAATATGATGTCTTGAAAAACTATTCTTTCCCCATTGAATGGTCTTGGCACCTTTGTCAAAAATTATTTAATCATATATATGAGAGTTTATTTCTGTGTACTCTATTCTATTCCGTTGGTCTATATGTCTGTTTTTATGCCATTACTACAGTATTTATGACTCCCTCTGTCCATAGTGATTCCTGGGTCCAGTTTTATAGAACCCAGGAACTGAACTTTGCTGTTTTAAAGGTGGAAGTACAGAAGAGCATCACAGAAGTTGGTCGGGAGCTGACAGAGCTGGGGGAACGGCTTGTAGACATTGTCAGGAGCCTGCAGAGTCAGAGGCCCCTATCAGAATCTGGACCAGACAGTGAACTGAGCATCCTGGGCAAGGTAGGCTCCGCTGGGAGAGGAAAGGTTCTGGAGGGGGTAGGGCTAGAGATTGCTTTCAACTGAAACAACGTAAATGTGTTTGAAGCTGAAGGATGCAGTAAGTCTCAACCTTTTATTATTCTCTTCACTACCAGACATGGATGATTGGACATTTGGTATGCCTGAGGTAAGGTTGGAAAGCTTTGAGTGGGCTAGGATCACTCCATTTAACCAGCTATCTCTAAGATCACCAATGACCTCTGTGTAAACCCTATAGACATTCTGATACCTGTCTTCACTGACTTTTCAGCAGCCTTTGACACAGTGGACCCTACCTTTATTCTTAGCTTTTGGGACAGCAGTCTTCTGCCTTTCCCCTACCTCTCTCTGGCGGATCTTTCTCGGTCTGTTTGCAGGCTGTCTCTCCTCTGCTCGGGAATTCAATGCTGGACTTCCTCAAGGCTGAGTTACAGGTCCCTTTCTCTCCCCTCCAGGTAGTCTCCCCTGTACCCATGGCTTTAATAAGTACCTCTGTGCACAAATATAGCTCCAGCCTGGAGCCTTCTCTGAGCACTAGGCTGCTGTATCTCCCTTCTCATCTTTTCTTCTTGGATATCTCAAAGCATCACACTTAATGTGTCTTAAACTGCTCCTCTTCTGGGATTTCTCATCTCAATGCTGGCCCTATTATTTTTCCAAGTGCACAAGCCAGAGACATGGGAATCATGTTACCTCCTTCTCCCTCACCCTAATATGCAGCATGTTGTAGCTCTAAGACCTGCCTAATTACCTCTCAAATCTGTTTACTAGTCTTGAGCTCCTTTGAAACTTCTCTAATCCAAGCCTCTGATAATTTTGTACCTGGATTGCTGTCATAACCTTCCAAATGCTCCACTCTCCCTCTTCTAGTCTGTTTTCCTCATGGTCATCACAGTGACCACCATAAACACATCTGGAAATGTAACTCATGTGCTTAAAACGTTCAAGTGGCATCAGTTTGCTCAGCACTAAGACCCAAATCCTCACAGGATCAACAAAGCCCTGTAGGATCCCATCTGTGTCTGCCTCTCAAATCTCATCTCTGCTCACTCTGCCTGGCTCTGTGAGCTCCAGCTACCCCAGCCGTATCAGTGCCTCTGGTGTCTCACGTCTTCCTACTACAGGGTACCCTTCATGGAAGGCTCTCCTTTCCCTCCATCACTTAGGTCATGCTTGCTCATCCTGCACATCCTAGCTAGAACATCTCTTCTTCAGAGAGCAGCCTTCACTGATTTCCTCGAACAAATCAAATTCCCCCATTAGAGGCTCTTAGGATTCCATGTACCTTTCACTGGTAGTAGTCATCACCATTGCAACTTTGTAATGACTTGTGCCATACTCTGTATTAAAGTCTGCCCCCCTCCCTTTTCCTGCACTGGACTCTTAGCTTCATGAGGATCGGGACTTTCGATGCTTTTGTTCTTTTGTCCACCATTGTATCCCCATGCCCCAGCACAGTACCCAAGTACCCACTTACGGTAGGGCTCAACAAACACCCACTGAACGTATGAATAAATGCATCTTCAGGGATGCGACGTGTTGGGATAGAAAGTCTGAGAGTCTGACTTTCAGACTTGACATTGTCACTCACTAGTATCATGACCTTGGGCAAGTCTTTTTTCTTTTTTTTTTTTGGAGACGGAGTTTCGCTCCTGTTACCCAGGCTGGAGTGCAATGGCGCGATCTCGGCTCACCGCAACCTCCGCCTCCTGGGTTCAGGCAATTCTCCTGCCTGAGCCTCCTGAGTAGCTGGGATGACAGGCACGTGCCACCATGCCCAGCTGATTTTTTGTGTTTTTAGTAGAGACGGGGTTTCACCATGTTGACCAGGATGGTCTCGATCTCTTGACCTCGTGATCCACCTGCCTTGGCCTCCCAAAGTGCTGGGATTACAGGCGTGAGCCACCTCGCCCGGCAAGTCTTTTCATCCTTCTGCGTCTCAGGTTCCTGTCTGTAATGTAGAAATAATAACACGTGGCCTGCCACATCACTGCTTTATTGTGAGGATTAAAATAGGTTTAAAAAAGTACTTGACCAATGTTAAAATATGGGGTGATATAATTAACTGTGGCAATTTAGTTAACCCCTATGAACTTCAACTTCTTTGTTGAAAATGGAGATTTCTTACAGGCTTTTAAACCTACTTTGTGAGGTGGTTATGCAAATGAGAGAAACGCAATAGCTAGCATGTGGAAAACACTCAATAAGTGTAATACTACTGTATTTTGATTGGTGGAAAGAATGAGGAGTGGGTTATGCAAAGTTGGGAAAGAAAGTCAGGGGTTGAAGTTGGTGAGCAGATAAAGGGCTGTATTGGGGAAGAATAGGACTTGAGGCTAAAGAAAATCAGGGAGCATGTGTTGGAGGCCCCAGAAAGCAGGACCTAGATGCAGGCAACTTGAGAAGTAGCTCATGGGAAGTGACATGATATGATGATAGAGGTGGGAGAAGATTCTTTTTTTTTTTTTTTTTTTTGAGACAGAGTTTTGCTCTGTCGCCCCCAGGCTGGAGTGCAGTGGCATGATCTTCTCAGCTCACTGCAACCTCTACCTCCTGGGTTCAAGTGATTCTTCTGCCTCAGCCTCCCACATGGCTGGTATTACAGGCACCTGCCACCATGCCCGGCTAATTTTTGTATTTTTAGTACAGATGGGGTTTCACCATTTCAGCCAGGCTGGTCTAGGACTCCTGACCTCAGGTGATCTGCCCGCCTCAGCCTTCAAAACTGCTGAGATTACAGGCGTGAGCCACCACGCCCAGCTGAAAAGGTTATTCTGACCTCCATGGTTTATCTCAGTAACTGTAATATTTACTTTATAAAACCCCTGTGAGTTAGATGTGGCCCCCCAAAAAAAGAAAAAAAAAGGAAGCCCCTATAAGATGCACCTAAAAATGTTAAACTTTTTTGGTATTACCTAAGAAATCCAAGTTTATTGTGCAAAATGTTAGAATAGCATTAAATAAAGCATATCATAATGCTCCATCACTCCATCACCCAGAAATAACCACTCTTTGCTATTTTTGCTATACTATGTATTATTCAAGATTGTTTTCAAGGCATATATTTTGAGGGCCTAATTTTGTTTTTAAAAACTTGCTGGCTGGGTGCGGTGGCTCACGCCTGTAATCCCAGCACTTTGGGAGGCTGAGGCAGGTGGATCACCTGAGATCAGGAGTTCAAGACTAGCCTGGCCAACACGGTGAAACCTCATCTCTATAAAAATACAAAAATTAGCAGGCATGGTGGTGGGTGCCTGTAATCCTAGCTACTTGAGAGGCTGAGGCAGAAGGATTGCTTGAACCCGGGAGGTGGAGGTTGCAATGAGCTGAGATCATGCCACTGCACTGTATCCTGGGTGACAGAGCAAGACTCAGTCTCCAAAAAAAAATTTAAAAAGACTTACTTGGAGTTAAATAGATTAAATAAAAAATTATAAATGGGCCGGGCATGGTGGCTCAAGCCTGTAATCCCAGCACTTTGGGAGGCCGAGGCGGGTGGATCACGAGGTCAAGAGATCGAGACCATCCTGGTCAACATGGTGAAACCCCGTCTCTACTAAAAATACAAAAAAATCAGCTGGGCATGGCGGCACGTGCCTGTAATCCCAGCTACTCAGGAGGCTGAGGCAGGAGAATTGCCTGAACCCAGGAGACGGAGGTTGCGGTGAGCCGAGACTGCGCCATTGCACTCCAGCCTGGGTAACAAGAGCGAAACTCCGTCTCAAAAAAAAAAAAAAAAAATTATAAATGGACAGAAGGACTTGAATATAGTATTTGATGGGCTGTGTAGGGGACTTCTGTTTATTCATTTTTAAATGATTCATCAATAGACTTTTTTTCTTCTGGGGTGGATCCTTCCTTGGCTTCTCCAAAGCTGGTGACTTCCGATGCAGCTGCAGGGAAAATCAAAGATATTCTCCATGACCTAGAAGAAATTCAGGAAAAATTACGAGAAAACTTTTCCTGGAAAGAGGCTCCTGAAGCACAAACACAGGGTGAGCTGATCTTATTTATTGGAGGAGGATTAAACATGGAAGTTGGGGGTAATGGGGGTAAGTGCTCCATGGCTTTGTTCTTCGGGGAAAGGATCCCAGAGTCCAGCTATATTACCACTGTGGTATTGGGAATCAGGTAGGGGTGGGCTGAGGCGTTTTTGTGGCCTTGGAAAAAGTTTCTTAAGGAAAACAATTAGAGAGCAGTTTATTAGTTGTTCCAAAAATTTTCTGAGAAAAAAGCACCTTCTTATCCTGTGTGCTTCTAAACTTAGGTTGGATTCCTTCGTAATTTTATTTATTTATACAAATATAAGATCAATTTTTAAATTTAGGGGGTTACATTTAAAATTTCTCATTCAAAAATCAAAACCGGGCTGGGTACAGTGGCTCACGCCTGTGATCCCAGCACTTCGGGAGGCTGAGGCGACTGTATCACCTGAGGTCGGATTTCGAGACCAGCCTGGCCAACATGGTGAAACCCCATCTTTTTTTTTTTTTTTTTTTTTTTTTTTTGAGACGGAGTTTCACTCTTGTTACCCAGGCTGGAGGGCAATGGCACGATCTCGGCTCACTGCAACCTCCGCCTCCTGGGTTCAGGCAATTCTCCTGCCTCAACCTCCTGAGTAGCTGGGATTACAGGCACGCGCCACCATGCCCAGCTAATTTTTTTATTTTTAGTAGAGACGGGGTTTCACCATGTTGACCAGGACGGTCTCGATCTCTTGACCTTGTGATCCACCCGCCTCGGCCTCCCAAAGTGCTAGGATTACAGGCTTGAGCCACCGCACCCGGCCGTGAAACCCCATCTTTACTAAAAATACAAAATATTAGCTGGGTGTGGTGGCACATGCCAGTAGTCGCAGCTACTCTGGAAGCTTAGACAGAAGAATCGCTTGAACCTAGGAGGTGGAGGTTGCAGTGAACCAAGGTTGCGCCACTGCACTCTAGCCTGGGCAACAAGAACGAAAGGCTATCTCAAAGAAAAAAAAAAATCAAAACAGTGTAAGAAGGGCATACAGCCCAATCTCCCTCCAATCCTTGCCAATTGCCCTATTCTTTTATCTCAGTGCACCACTTTTATTAGTTTTTTGAGTGTCTGCTCAGAAGTTATTTATGCAAATATCAGCAAATATGCATTATATTCTTATTTCTCCCAATTTTTTTATACACAAAAGATAGCACATTAAATGCATTGTTCTGGAGTTTGCTTTTCTCTTTTACTTAATACATCTTCATTGTACAGATCAGTACTTAGGACATATTTTCTTTGCTTTTTTTTTTTTTTTTTTTTTAAGTACCTAGAGCATTTTCCCTTCTACAGCAGCTCGGTATTCCAGTGTCTGGATATGCCAACACTTACTTACTCAATCCTCTACAGATGGATGCATGATTGTTTCCAATTGTTTACAAATAATGACAAATAATGTTGAAATCAATAACTGTGTATGTACATTGTGTCATATGGGTGCAGATGTAATTGTAGCTTAAATTACCAGTGAAGGTTGCTGGATCATAGGGTAAATTCGTTTGTCATTTTGATATACATTGCCAAATCACCCTCCAATTGGGTTATACTAATTTTCACTTCCACAGAAGAAGTGTGTGTCCCCAACCTGCCAATTGAGTGTGTTGTCAGACATTTGTCTTTTTTTTTTTTAAACCAATCTCATGGGGTCAAAATATTGACGTGAAATTAGCCGGGCTTGGTGGCGAGTGCCTGTAATCCCAGTTACTTGGAAGGTTGACGCAGGAGAATCGCTTGAACCCGGGAGGCAGAGGTTGCAGTGAGCCAAGACTGTGCCATTGCACTCCAGCCTGGTCAACAAGAATGAAACCCTGACTCAAAAAAAAAAAAAAAAAAAAAAAAGATGTGAAAGTATTCTGCACTTTTAATTTGTGTTTTTCCATGAATTGTCTGTTCATATCTCATGTTATTGGTCTTTTTAAAATTGACATTTAGGAACTCTTTGTAAATTGAAGAGATTAACCTTTCGTCTGTTATATAAATGGCAATTTTTTTTCCTTAATATCTCATTTATCTTTTTATTTATCTTTTATAGGTTTTATAATGCCATACAGACTTTTTTTTTTTTTTTTTTTTTGAGACGGAGTTTCACTCTTGTTACCCAGGCTGGAGTGCAATGGCGCGATCTCGGCTCACCGCAACCTCCGCCTCCTGGGGTCAGGCAATTCTCCTGCCTCAGCCTCCTGAGTAGCTGGGATTACAGGCACGTGCCACCATGCCCAGCTAATTTTTTTGCACTTTTAGTAGAGACGGGGTTTCACCATGTTGACCAGGATGGTCTCGATCTCTTAACCTTGTGATCCACCCGCCTCGGCCTCCCAAAGTGCTGGGATTACAGGCTTGAGCCACCGCGCCCGGCCCATACAGACATTTTTAATTTTACTTTTTTTTTTTTTACTTTAATTTTACTTTAACCATGTTGGTTAGGCTGGTCTCAAACTCCTGACCTCAGGTGATCCATCTGCCTTGGCCTCCCAAAATGCTAGGATTACAGTCATGAGCCACCACGCCTGGCCTTTACATAATTTTTTATAGAGATGAGATCTCACTGTTTTTCCCAGGCTGGTCTCAAACTCTTAGGCTCAAGCAATCCTTCTGCCTCTGCCTGCCAAAGTGCTGGGATTACAGGTGTGATCCCACCATGCCCGGCCTCAATTTATTTTTTTAAGAGATAAGAGACAGCGTCTTGTTCTGTTGCCTAGACTGGTTGACTAGAGTGCCATGACAATTCCTAGGCTCTAAATGTTTCCTTTTTATTTTTATTTTTTGAGACAGAGTCTTACTTTGTCACCTAGGCTGGAGTGCTATGATGCCATCGTGGCTTACCCAGCCTTGACTTCCCAGGCTCAAGTGATCCTCCCTCCTTAGCCTCCTGAGTAGCTGGGACTGCAGGCACGTGCCATCACACCTGGCTAATTTTTGTATTTTTGTTAGATACCGAGTTTCACCATGTTGCTTAGGCTGGCCTGGAACTCCTGGGCTCAAACAATTAGGTCACCTCAGCCTCTTGAGTAGGTGGGACTACAGGTGGCGTGACCACACTTTGTTAATTTTTTGTTTATATTTTTTGTGGAGAATAGGTCATGCTTCTATTTTCACACAATAAAATTTTTCCAGTTTTTATTTTAAGCATTGTAGATTTTAAGTTTTAGTTAGAAAACTCAACCACCTGATGTTTAGAATTTTCTGATGTATATGTGTGTGTTTGTATTTTTACAGTTTACATTTAAATCTTTGGTTTCATGTTTTACATTGAAACCTTTGACCCATTTCAAGTCTACCTCAGCATGTATCCTAATGCATTTTGTTTTATTTATTATTATTATTTCTTTAGATGGAGTCTCACTATGTTGCCCAGGCTGGAGTGCAATGGCGTGATCTCGGCTCACCACAACCTCTGGCTCTTGGGTTCAAGTGACTCTCTTGCCTCAGCCTCCCAAGTAGCTGGGATTACAGGCTCCTGCCATCACGTTTGGCTAATTTTTGTATTTTTAGTAGAGATGGAGTTTCCCCATGTTGGCCAGGCTGGTCTCGAACTCCTGGCCTTAAGTGATCTGCCCGTTTTAGCCTCCCAAAGTGCTGGGATTACAGGTGTGAGCCACCACGCCTAGCCTGTAACTTTAATTTTAATATTTTAGGAACAGGTCTTACTTTGTTGCCCAGACTAGAGTATAGTGGCACAACCACAGCTCACTATAACCTCAGTCCTCCTGCTTCAGCCGCTCTAGTAGGACTGTAGGCCCACACCACCATGCTCAGCTATTTAAAGAATTGTTTTGTAAGGCTGGGTGTGGTGGCTCACACCTGTAATCCCAGCATTTTGGGAGGCTGAGGCACGCAGATCACAAGGTCAGAAGTTGGAGATCAGCCTGACCAACACGGTGAAACCCCGTCTCTATTAAAAATACAAAAAGTAGCCAGGTGTGGTGGCACGCACCTGTAGTCCCAGCTACTTGGGAGACTGAGGTGGGAGAATCAGAAGAATCACTTGAACCTGGGAGGCAGAGGTCATAGTAAGCTGAGATCGTGCCATTGCACTCCAGCCTGGGTGACAGAAAAAAAAAATTGTTTTGTAAAGACAGGGTCTCCTTATGTTGCCCAGGCTGGTCTGGAGCTCCTGGCCTTAAGTGACCTACCTACCTTAGCCTCCTAACTAGCTGGGACTATAAGCATGGGCCACCATGCCTTGCTTCATGTTGCAGAATTGAAACTCTATACCCAGTAAGCAACAATTTCATATTCCCTCAACCCTCTCTTACCTGGCAACCACTATTCCACTTTCTGTTTCTATGAATTTGACTATTCTGTATATCTCATCTGAGTAGAATCATACAGTATTTGTGTGAGAGGTTTATTTCACCTAGTATAATGTACTCCAAGTTCACCTATGTTGTAGCATATATAAGAATTTGGTTTCTTTTGGGTGTGTTTTGGTTTGTTTCTTTGAGATGGAGCCTCGCTCTGTTGCCTAAGCTGGAAAGCAGTGGCACAGTCCTGACTCACTGCAACCTCCGCCTCCTGGGTTCAAGCGATTCTCCTGCCTCAGCTTCCTGAGTAACTGGGATCATAGGCGTGTGCCTCCATGCCCAACTAATTTTTGTATTTTTAGCAGAGACGTGGTTTCACCACATTGGTCAGGCTGGTCTCGAACTCCTGACCTTGTGATCTGCCCACCTCAGCCTGCCAATGTGCTGGGATATCAGGCATGAGCCACCATACCTGGCCTTTTTTTTGAGATGGAGTCTTGCTCTGTCACCCAGGCTGGAGTGCAGTGGTGTAATCTTGGCTCACTGCAACCTCCGCCTCCCGGGTTTTTAAGTGATTTTCCCACCTCAACCTCCCGAGTCATCGCTGGGATTACAGGCATGTGTACTACACCTGACTAATTTGTGTGTGTGTGTGTGTGTGTGTGTGTGTGTGTGTGTGTATACAGACAGGGTTTCGCCATGTTGTCCAGGCAGGTCTTGAACTCCTGACCTCAGGTTATCTGCCTACCTCAGCCTCCCAAAGTGCTGAGATTACAGGTGTGAGCCACCATGCCCAGCCTGCTTTTTGTATTTTTAGTAGAGACGAGGTTTCACCATATTGGCCAGGCTGGTCTTGAACTCCTGACCTTGTGATCATCCTGCCTCGGCCTTAGAAAGTTCTGGGAATACAGGTGTGAGCCACTGCACCCAGCCCAAATTCATTACTTTCTGAGGCTAAATAATTCCATTGTATGTATATATCACATATGTTTATCCATTTCTCTGTCTATGGACACATGGATTGCTTCAGTTCCCACCTGAATTTTGAGAATGTCCTCTTGACAGGCAGCTTTATTGCTCTCATGGCCTAAGTTGTCACAGGCACACCCTAGACAAGGTCTTTCATCTCTTCTCAGGCCGAGTCTTAGATTCACTTCAGCTGCGGTCACTTAAAGATACAACTAGGAGAAGATTTCACCTTCAAAGTCTGCACTATAGGACTTCCCTTACTTATCATCTGCCTGACGTGGTCATTGTACTCTAGCATACATGACTGCTTAAAGTTAATAATTAAAGTTTAGCACATTGAGAGGGAGAGGTGTCAGCAATGGTGATGAGTCTCACACCAACTCAAGTTACCTAGTTTATATAACAACAGTTTAAAGCATTGACTTGGGGGTCCTCGATATTCCAGGTGTCAGGGTGCTGCAATCCTCTGGAACTGTATTAGGTAAGTGTGCATGAAACGCCTTCTATATATGGGGCTGACATGGGGCTTGGCGCTTAAAACAATATAGATCAGGCGTCCCCAAACTACGACCCACGGGCCGCATGTCGCCCCCTGAGGCCATTTATCTGGCCCCCCTCCGCACTTCAGGAAGGGGCACCTCTTTCATTGGTGGTCAGTGAGAGGAGCACAGTATGTGGCGGCCCTCCAACGGTCTGAGGGACAGTGAACTGGCCCCCTGTGTAAAAAGTTTGGGGACGCCTGATATAGATGAACAAGATCTCTGCCATCAAGGAGCTTAGAGCTTAGTGAGGAAACAGTGTAAAGTCCACAGTAAGAACACGGAGGTGGTGTACCTGGGCTGCATATACTGCCTCTGCCCAATCCAGTCCTGACACTGAACAACGTGCAGATAATGAGAAGACAAGCCGTGTGCCTTGATCATGATGTTCGGATACCTTCAGTTTGCCTTTTTCTGATGGGACTTTCCCCTCCTAATTTTTTTGTTACTTAGGGGAACTCTTGGACTCCCCGTCTTCCTCCTCATGCCCATTGTCTGACCAGAGCAGCCCTGCACTCAGAAGAGCTTCTCAGTTTGCTCAGTGTAAGTATGTGGTTCACTTTAAACTTGGGTGTGGCTTGCTGCAGAGCAGAGCTTCGAGAACATATATCTCCATCTATCTTCCATCTGTTTCCCTACCGCTGGGTCCACTCCTTGGCTTACTGCACATGGATTAGTCCCTATACCAGGTCCTTCCATTGGGGGGAGCTGATTGCAAAGGCAAAGCAGGTTGAGACTCTATACCCAAGAGCACTCAGAGCCCAGGCAACCTTTGAGCATCTCTGCTGTGGCCACCAATTACAGCCAACTGCCTGTTCCCAAACCTGCTGAGATCTTTCTGCTGTCCCAGTCTGGGGTAGTCCTTAAGAGCATGGATCCTGAGGCCAGACTGCTTGGGTTTGACTCCCAGCAGCTCCACTAACCAGTAGTGTGATCCTGAACAAGTCACTTAAGCTCCTAGAGCCTGGGTTCCTCATCTATAAAATGGAGATAATATAGTACTTCTCTTGCGTGATTGCCATGAGGGTTAAGTGAGTGAGCATGAGGAAAACACCTGGAGTAGTCATGCTATGTAAGTGTTAGCAATTTACTCACTAAATAGGAAAACATATGAAATACACGAAGTGAATAAGATATGGTCCTTAATCAGGAAGTTTCAGTTTAACTGGGGAGATATAAACAGCTGTGGTCATAAATCACCATAAGATAGCTAGAAGATGGTAAGTATCTTGAGAGAACACATAAAGCACCACGGGTGTTGAGAAAAGCAAGAGATGACTTTTTTGCTGGGTGGGATGCAGAGAGGGCTTCCTGAAAGATGACTAGTGGGTAAGTTAAAGTTAATATGGGAAAGGGGTATTGATATAACAATATCAAAGATATATATAGAAAATTGCAAGTTGATATACCAATTTTTGTTTGCTTGTTTATTTTTGTTGAAACAGGGTCTCTCTATGTTGCCCAGGCTGGTTTGGAACTCCTGGCCTCAAATGATCCTCCTACCTCAGTCTCTCAAAGTGCTGGGATTACAGGCATGAGCCACTGTGCCTGGCCTGATTTTTTCTTTTTAGAGACAAAATCTTGCTCTGTTGCCCAGGCTGGAGTGCAGTGGCACAATCTTGGCTCACTGCAACCTCTACCTCCCAGGCTCAAGCAATTCTCATGCCTCAGCCTCCTGAGTAGCTGGGATTACAGGCATAAGCCACCATGCTCAGCTAATTTTTGTATGTTTAGTAGAGACAGGATTTGGCCGTGATGGCCAGGCTGGTGTTGAACTCCTGGCCTCAAGTGATCCACTCGCCTTGGTCTCCCAAAGTTCTGGGATTATAGGTGTAAACCAGTGTACCCGACTGAAGGAGCTGGCCTGATTTTTTAAATTGACATGTAATAACTTTATAGTGTGGGTGCAGTGACTCATGCCTGTAATTGCAGCACTTTGGGAGGCTGAAATGGCAGGATTGCTGGAGCTCAGGAGTTCAACATCAGCCTGGGAATCATGGCAAAATCCTGCTTCTTTTCAAAATAAATTTTAAAAATAAATAAATAAATATAATTGTACATATTTATGGGATATATAGTGATGTTTCAATACATATGATGCATAGTGATCAGATCAAGGTAGTTAGCATATCTGTCATCTGAAACATTTGTCATTTCTTCCTGTTGAGTGATGTGCCAATTTTAATGCCAGCATGAGTAAAACATTATCACACCAAAAGATACAAAGCTGCTTTTTGCTATTTCAAGACCTCTTAGCATGGATGATCAAAAGATAACCGGCCATGTTCTTATTGTTTTTTGTTTTTTTTTCCGGAAGGGGCCATTAATCCAACCTTTAACTTGATGAGCCTTGCCTGCAGCCTGGAAGTGTCTGGGGATTTCCATACAGTGACTGTGTCTCCCCGCCCACAACCCTATCGCTGGAGTTGTGAGAGGTTTTCTACCAGCCAGGTCTTATGTTCCCAGGCCCTCTGTTCTGGAAAGCATTACTGGGAAGTGGACACTAGGAATTGCAGCCACTGGGCAGTTGGGGTGGCTTCCTGGGAGATGAGCCGTGACCAGGTCCTGGGAAGGACTACAGACTCTTGTTGTGTGGAATGGAAAGGGACCAGCCAGCTCTCTGCATGGCACATGGTCAAGGAAACTGTCCTTGGCTCAGACAGACCTGGGGTGGTGGGCATCTGGCTGAACCTTGAGGAGGGGAAGCTTGCCTTCTATTCAGTGGACAATCAGGAGAAGCTTCTGTATGAGTGTACCATCTCTGCCTCCTCTCCTCTGCACCCTGCCTTCTGGCTGTATGGCTTACATCCTGGAAATCACCTGATAATAAAGCAAGTAAAGGTGTAAAGTTTCCTCAGGGATTACAAAACAGTGGTTTCCTGGTCTCTCCTTCCCAGGGCAGTAACTTATCTTAAGAATACCACTTTTGCTGGGCTCAGTGGCTCACCCCTTTAATCCCAGCACTTTAGCAAGGTCAGGAGTTCGAGACCAAGCTGGCCAACATGGTGAAACCCTATCTCTACTAAAAATACAAAAATTAGCTGGGTGTGATGGCAGACATCTGTAATCCCCACTACTCAGGAGGCTGAAGCAAGAGAATCGCTTGAACCCAGGAGGCGGAGGTTGCAGTGAGCTGGGATCATGCCATTGCACTCCAGTCTGGGTGACAAGAGCAAGACTCTGTCTCAAAAATAAAAAAAAGAATACCGCTGGCCGGGCGCGGTGGCTCAAGCCTGTAATCCCAGCACTTTGGGAGGCCGAGGCGGGTGGATCACGAGGTCGAGAGATCGAGACCATCCTGGTCAACATGGTGAAACCCCGTCTCTACTAAAAGTGCAAAAAATGAGCTGGGCATGGTGGCGCGTGCCTGTAATCCCAGCTACTCAGGAGGCTGAGGCAGGAGAATTGCCTGAACCCAGGAGGCGGAGGTTGCGGTGAGCCGAGATCGCGCCATTGCACTCCAACCTGGGTAACAAGGGCGAAACTCAGTCTCAAAAAAAAAAAAAAAAAAAAATACCGCTTTTTAGATAGAGATTGGGTCTCACTAGGTTGCCCAGGCTGGTGTGAAATTTCTAGCCTCAAGCAGTCCTCCCACCTCAGCCTCCCAAAGTGCTAGGATTACAGGTGTGAGCCACCACATCTGGCCAAAAATACCACTTTTGAAGTCAGTCCTTTTGTGTGATACAGGATTAACTCAGCTGTTATACTTTTGATATTTGAACCCTGCACATTCCAAATAAAGGACACATCCATGCCTGGCTCCTGGGAGATAACCTCTAAGCCATTAGAATATCCTGCCTGATAAGAGTGTTTTTGTTTACCTGTGGGCCATGGGCCATGCACTATCAGCTTGACCTCAGCAGGGTCAAGCTGAGGAGACTAAGCCATATGGGCAGTGAAGCATGCCTATGTGACCAATCCCCCAAAAAAGCCCTGGACACCATGGCATGGGTGAGCTTCCCTTGTTAGTAATACTCCATGCCCACATCATTGTGGCCACACATCATTGCTGGGAGAATTAAACATTATCCTCAAGACTCTGCCAGGAGAGGATAATTGGACGTTCTCTTCGACCTTGCCTTGTATGCCTTTCTTCATTGCTGATTTAAATCTGTAGCCTTTCACTGTAATAAACTGTAACCATGAATACAACAGCTTTGCTGAGTTCTTTGAGTCCTTCTAGTGAATCACTAAATGTATGGGCCGTCTCAGGGATCTCCAAACATAATTTGCTACTTATCAATTGCTGTGTAAGAATATTGCCACAAATTTAATGGTTTAAAATAACACATATTTTTTATTTCACAGTTTCTGAGAGTCAGGAGTCAGGGCACAGCTTAGCTGAGGCTCTTACCTTGGAGTTTGACAAGCTGCAGTCAACATGTCAGCTGGGGACACAGGGTCAGCAGAGGCTCGACCGGGGAAGGATCTGCCTCCAAACTCACATGGTTGTTGGCAGCCTTCAGTTCCTGGTGGGTTGCTGGACTGAGGGCCTCAGTTTCTTTCTAGTTGTCGGCTGGACACCACCCTCAGTTCCTTACCCCATGGGCCTTTGCAACACGGCTTCCTCAAATCCAACAAGGGAGAAGGTCTCCCAGTGAGACGGGCACAAAATCTTACATAGATCTTACATAGCATAACCATATGAACACATAATCATGTACATCCCATTGCCTTTGGCTTCTATTAATTAGAAGCAAGTCATGGTATCATCTATACCCAAGGGGTAGGGATTACACAAGGACATGAATGCCAGGACATAGGGCTCAGGAGGCCACCCTACAGTATGTCTGACACAGCGTATTATTTCACACTTGATTTCCCCTGTTTTTAAAAACCATTTTATTAACATAAGAAAACAGATATAGAAAACTACATGAAACGTGGAGCTTAATGAGTTATTATAAGGTAAATAAATACCCTTGTAACCATCATTTAGGTCAAGAAATAGAACCTGCTACCCACCCTAGAAACTCCTTCCTGTGCCCTATTCTAATCACAAAACCCTCCCTATGCCTGAAAGGAGTCTTGACTTTCACACTAATCACTTCCTTGCATTTCTTTAGAGTTTTATTACTCAAATATGCATCCACAGCCACAGTAGTTTCATCCTACCCATAAAAAAAAAAAAAAAAAAAAAAAAAAAAGGTGTGTCCTTTCCTGTAACAGCTTTGTTGGGAACATTATTTATTTGTTTATTTTTATTTTGGATCTCACTTGTCACCCAGGCTGGAGTAAGTGGTGTGAATCTTGGCTCACTGCAACCTCTACCTCCTCTACCTCCTGGGTTAAAGCAATCCCCATGCTTCAGCCTCCTGAGTAGCTGGGATTACATGTGTGAGCCACAATGCCCAGCTAATTTTTGCATTTTTAGTAGAGATGGGGTTTCGCCATGTTGCCCAGGCTGGTCTCAAACTCCTGAGCTCAGGCAATCTGCCTACTTCAGCCTCCCAAAGTGCTGGGATTACAAGCATGAACTGCTGTGCCTGGACAACATAATTTACATACTATGAAATTCACTTATTTAAAGTGTACAAATATATGCTTTTTTAGTATATTTACAGAGTTGTAAAACAATCACCATAATCTAATTTTAGGATATTGTCATCACCCCAAAAAGAACCCTCCTACCCATTATCATTTGATGTCTCTTAGTCTCCTAATATATATGTCTCTCTCTCTCTTTTTTTTTTTTTTGTCTACAACTCATCTGCAGAAGGACCCTGGTCTTGCCTAGCACCTATTCTGAAGATGGAGACATTCCGCTCTTGAACTAGGTTGAAGAGAAAGCCCTGTCATGCAAACCAGCCAGGCAGCTTTTGACAGTATATTTAAACTCTTCTTGCCTTTCTTTTCCCCTTTCAAATGGACATCATTATTATTTGCCTTTCCTTACCTTCCTCACAGGATTGCTGAAAGAATTAAATAAAGTAGGAGGTGAGAAATCAAAGAATACAATGGTGATGGTAATTGCAGCAGCAATGACGGAATTACATCTTAATATCATGCACCTTGGCCTCTCGCATCCTGAGACTCACATCTAATTTCTATACGGGATTAATCGCTCCTTCAAAACAGGGGCAAGCAGAATTCTTCCTCATGGTCTACTAATATATTTTCTGAGCCTCACCACCACCCTGCTTGATGGGTATTACTACCTTTCTGTTGCTGCATAAGGAAGTAGAGGCCAGGACAGGTGTGGGGGTTTGTCCAGGGTTGATCAGCCAGTCATGGCAGAGCTGGAACCAGGCCCAATTTTATCTTTTTTTTTTTTTTTTTTTTGAGATCAAGTCTTCCTCTGTTGCTCAGGCTGGCGTGCAGTGGCATGATCTCGGCTCACTGCAACTTCTATCTCCAGGATTCAATCGATTCTTGTGCCTCAGCCTCCCAAGAAGCTGGGATTATAGATAGGTGTGTGCCCCCACTCTTGGCTAATTTTTGTATTTTTAGTAGAGACAGGGTTTTACCATGTTGTCCAGGCTGGTCTTAAACTCCTGACCTCAAGTGATCCACCTGCCTTGGCCTCCCAAAGTGCTGGAATTACAGACATGAGCCACTGTACCTGGCTGGTTTTCTCAGCCTGGAGTCTCTCCCCTCATTACTCCCCGATGAGGTTCTATGCTAAGGTCAGGACCTGGCTTTCTGCTTTGATGGGACACGGCTAGCCCTAAAGTCATAAGATACCCTTTCTTTCTGATTTTGGTGGTTGTCCTTAGTTAGTATAGTGGCCTTGAGTTGTCTAAGCAGGGACAGAGCTTCTCTGTTTGTGCCAAGTGACCACTAAGAAGCTATGGATGGCCGGGCATGGTGGCTTATGCCTTTTGGCGGCTGAGGTGGGCGGGTCACCTGAGGTCAGAAGTTTGAGACCAGCCTAGACAACACGGCAAAACACTATCTTTACTAAAAATACAAAAATTAACTGGGCATGGTAGCACACACCTGTAATCCCAGCTATTTGGAGGCTGAGGCAGGAGAATCACTTGAGCCTGGGAGGCACAGGTTGCAGTGAGCCATGATCATAACACTGTACTCCAGCCTGGGTGATTCAGTGAGACTCTGTCTCAAAAATAAATAAATAAGACCCAGTGCAGTGGCTCATGCTTGTGATCCCAGCACTTTGGGAGGCCAAGGCGGGAGGATCACAAGGTTAGGGGTTCAAGGCCAGCCTGGCCAATATGGTGAAACTATATCTCTACTAAAAATACAAAAATTAGCCAGGTGTAGTGGTGGGTGCCTGTAGTCCCAGTTACTTGGGAGGCTGAGGCAGGAGAATTGCTTGAACCTGGGAGGTGGAGGTTGCAGTGAGCTCAGATTGTGCCACTGCACACCAGCTTGGGCAACAGAGCAAGGTTCCGTCTGAAAAAATAAAAATTAAAAAATAAACAAATAAAAAGAAGCTATGGGCTCTCACTTTCTGCATCAAGGAGCGCTTATCTTCTCACCCAGACTTAACTTTGATGTTTGCCTCTTGTGCCAAGATTCAGTTTGGAGTGCGGGATTTTAGCCTCTTGAGGTTCTTTGGTTATTGTCCTCTCAGACAGTGTTTATCACAATGAGGCCTCTGCGAGTGTGGGTTTTATCTGCCAGCCACATGATGTCCCCATGCTGGAGCCAAGGCACTAGAATCAGAGGACAGAAAAGACAGGAAGGCTGTCACTTTTGACTCCCTTGCTTTTGGCTTGCACTTTGTGTCAGCGTATCTCTTCCAGGATACTGTAGAACATAGTGTCCTTCCCTCAAACCAAACGTAAAATCTCCAAAGGAGAATAACAAAAGCTGAAACGCCAGAGGAGGAAGGACCTCTCACCGGGGTCTGCACTGTGGGGGTGAGGAAGTATCTGCCCATGGACCAAGCCAGAAAGACTTTCC